TTACAGGCAGAGGATACATGCAGGGGTTACAGTGGACATTGCACCCAGGGTCTGGTTTGACATTTTTGAGATAAACATTGATTGGACATCGGCAAGGGACTATTTTTGGACATCGCCATTGCGATCTTGGTCTTTTCCCTTGCCTCCATCTTCGTCTCACCTCTCCCCCAATCTCACATCTGTGGTATCTCCCCATGTGCGTGTACAAGGAGGGACCTTTCTTCTCTGTGTGCGGTCCCTCCTCCTCTCACATGTGTGATGCATGATGGGATGTCGTGTCAGTCCCGGTCAGGTCAGGACTTATATCCAAGTCTTCCACTGCACTATTTTGTGCCATTTCATGTGTATCAGGGTGTATATTGCTTATTGATGTTTCACTAACATTGCATTGTCCATTCAGTCCTTTTCATCGCATTGCGGATCCTTGGCCGTACATACATTGCCCAACTGGGCATGTATCTGTTGGTATCGGAGCCCGCAAGTGAATCAGGACAACCTGATCTGACACGTGTGCAGGGACTATTGATTAGTTGATTGATTGATTAGTCATTGATTGATCATTGATTGATTGATTGATTGATTGATTGATTGATTGATTGATTGATTGATTGATTGATTGATTGATTGATTGGTTTATTGATTAATTGATTAATTGGTTGATTGATTAATTGATTGATTGATTGATTGATTGATTGATTGATTGATTGATTGATTTATTAATTGATTGGTTGATTGATTAATTGATTGATTGATTACCTGATTGATTGATTGATTGATTGATTGATTGATTGATTGATTGATTGATTGATTGATTGATTGATTGATTGATTGATTGATTAGGGTATACTAATTAGTCCCCAAAATCGCAATTTTTTTTGACCTAACTGCCAAATCGAATTTTTTTTCCTTTCCGGATTTCGTTTCTCTAGCGCTACCTTCGTTTTTGGAAAATCGCAAAATCCGAAATAGCACAGCATCTGAAATTTTTGATTTTCGATGTGAATCTTCGTTGCTGAGAAATCCGGAATATTTTTTCGAAAATTTTGGATTTGTATTTTCTTTCATAATGTCCCGTTATTTCGAAAAGTCCGAGATTTTTTTTGGAATTTCCAAAATTCGTTATTTCAAGATTTGAAATTTTACGGGAAAACCCTTTTTCAGTTACTTTTTCAACTGCGCATACTCTCATCTGAGCAATTCCGAGAATTTTTTTCCTTCCGGAATTTCCTGAACTTACAATTTTTTTTTTTGCGGTTCTATTATTCTTTATTCATTCTTATTCTTTGATTAATCATTGGCAGTCTGAAGATTCAATTTTTTTAATTGGTAATCCCGAATTTGAGGGAGATTGGGAGACCTACTGAACTTGCAAACTCATGATTTTTTTAAAAATATTATTATTAATTTCTCGAATTTTTTTTTGCAAAAGTTCGAACTTTTCTTTTTTTGATCAGTGGCTCCTCATCTGGGCAATTTATCCCACCCACCCCTCCCCACCTATGTTGTTGCCCCCTCTGGTCTACTCTTCTTCTTCATCTGATTCCGGGTACCCCTACTGCGACATTGGTAAGTTGCCACGTCAGCAGGCCACGTCAGCAGTGACACGTCATCAGACCACGTCAGCAGGCTACGTCAGCAGACCATGTCAGCAGACCACATCAGCAGTGCCACATCAGCGACAAGTCAGCCGACAGCCGTGCCACGTCAGCAGCCGAGCAGTGCCACGTCAACAGCAGGGAGTGCCACGTCAGCAGGCGCTCGACCTGGTGTATGCTCACACACTCACAAACAGCCGTCATGGACCAGAAGTCCAGGGAAACGGACGAGGCCTATCAGGCTCGGATGCTGGTTCTGATTACCGAAGCTAAGCAACGGTCGGATGTGGTAGCAGCCGCAGCAAAGAAGAAGGCAGAGGACGCCGAGAAAGCACGTCTGCTGGCGATCGAACAACAGCGCCAGCACGACGAGGCAGCAGCAAAGGCTGCCGATGAAGAACGCAGTCAACGACGCGAGAAGATATTTAGCGAGGAGAGAGCCTTGCTCACGATGGCAACAACATGGCGGACCGAGGCCGAAGGTGGCGAATTCAGCGACAGTAGACCTCGCATCTCGCTGTTGCTCTCCCACCTCACGAACCTCCTGGCAACGTGCATTGCACAACAAGACATCCATAACCTTGGCGATACGGTGAAGAACCAGCAACGGTCGTTGGATCAGGTCAACAGCCGTCTCCAGCAGCTGGAGCAACAACTCGTCGTCGCCCCCGTCGCCAACTCCTCCAACACTTCCGACTGCCTCGACGCATTGGAAGTCCACGTCGGTGCGCTCAAGGATGGCGTGCAACTACAGCAAACCGCAACTTAACAACTGGAGCAGTGGATCTGCACTGCCGCCAATCACTCGAGCACGTCCCAACGCGAATCAACTCTGAAGTTCGACGGTCAGGAGATCTTCTGCGACGCGACGAAGACGGAACCGATTCCTTGGTTCTGTCAGTTCGAGCTCAAGTTGCAGCTCCACCACATCCACGAATCGAAGCACCATGCGTACTTGTACTCCCGATCGGGGGGCACGTGCCAAGCGTGGATGGACAACCTCTTGTCTAAGTACGGCGTGGTGGCAGCCGACTTGCATACCAAGATCAACAGGGATGATCTAAAGGCAGCGTGGCATAAGCGGTTCCAAATAGAGCCGCCATAAATCAAAGCAATGGACAAATTGCTGACTTTTTCACAAGGCACGCTGCTGAGTGGCGATTGGATTGCCGAGTTCCAACGCTTGACATCCATACCAGACGTCCTGATGGGCTTCATGGTCGTCAAACACTACTTCATTTCGAGGTCGTGTCCGGCGCAAGGCAATGCCTTGACTCAAGTTGAGGATACACTCACTACAACAGAGGAACTCTTCAACAAGGCCAAACAGATTATTGTCACGAACGTGGAGGCCAAGAACCTCAACCGTTCGTCTGCGGCAGGCCCGAGCAGAGAACAACATCAGCCGAAAGTGGCCGTGGTCATGACGCCGACGCCGACCGACCCTTCAGGCGAGGCCGTGTCTGCCAATGAAGGGGACAGACTCGCAGCCGCCCGGGATGGTGGTCGTCCCGGCAGAGGCTGACGACGTGGCAAAACGAAGACAAACACCACATCAAACCCCAGGCCCGACACAACAGCTCAAGCCCTATGGAACCACTACGGTCTCTCGGAGCACGTATACAAGCTACGAATGAGATTCCACTATTGTTTGTGGTGCAACAGCGATCTCCATGAAACAGTGGTCTGTCCGTTGAAGGGCAAAGGCAAATCGGGAAACTGAGCACTGTCGGGAGTGAGTAGATGACACTCTCGACGCCTTCGGAACCGGTTGCTTCGCGAGCGACCGCCCTTCGTTCCGAGGCACATGCGAAAGTCGATAGTCCTCCTCTTTTATACTCTAATGAGGACTATGCTGCTCGGACCATTCCTACATTGGGTACTCATGCTCAAGGACAAGACATGTGTGCGACATCTTCTCCGTCTGGCAGTGGCGACTTATCGTCTTCAAGTGGTTCGTCACAGGATTCGGCGCGCGAGTTCAACATACAGGTATTGGACCCGCTCACGTCCGAGGATTTCGCATGGCTTCCTCTCCCGACCACTGGCCGCTCGCCGGGACCGCAATGCACAACACTATGCGCTCATCTTCACACGTATCTATCCTTTTATGCACCAAAACTTCACCGATGGATGACGAAGCTGCGGTGGGTGAGATCCTTGGGTCCGTTACTAAGGTGGCCCGCGAGTTTCGCAAGCAGTGGTACGATGACAAAAACGCACCGCTCCTCTATGTCCGCATCCAAGTTGGGAAAGCGTCCTGCAGTGCTTTGCTGGATGGTGGCGCATCTCGCAATTTTATGAGCCAAACCTTTATGCAAAGGGATGGCCTTGGTGCACAAGTTCGGAGGAAGGAAAACCCGACGGCGATCAAGTTGGCGGACAAAAAGACGCAACAACTTCTCGGCCGCTAGCCGTCCCGGTGTATTTCGCACTTCATGCATGCAAACCGGTGACGTTCAACATTTTGGATACGGACTTCGATATTATTTTGGGAATGCCTTGGCTTGCAAGTGCGGATCACATGGTCAACTTCCACCGGACGACTCTTACCGTCCGGGACGCCTTCGGCGCCGAAGTGCCGTGTACTATTCCTCTTCCACACCCTTCGATCCGGTGCCAAGTAGTGATGGCCAAGTCATTCTGGGCTACTAGCACTTACGAGCAGCCTGGCGAGATAGGCCTATGTTTCCTACAGACTGTCGTGGTAGCCGACTCCTCACCCACGGACTTGTCTTTGGACCCTCGTGTGGTGCGGTTGCTTGACGAGTTAGCCGACATCTTCGAGTCACCTACCGGTGTGGTGCCGGATCGGCCGATCTCTCACGAGATCATTCTTGAGGCCGATGTCGTGCTGCCGAAAGGTTGCATTTATCGCATGAGCGAGGAGGAGCTTACGGTCCTCCGTGTGCAACTCGATGACTTGTTGGACAAGGGCTGGATCCGCCCTAGTAGCTCCCCATATGGAGCGCCAATTATCTTCGTATGGAAGAAGAACAAGGATCTACAACTGTGCATCGATTATCACAAGCTCAACGCGCAAACCGTCAAGAATGCGGGGCCTCTTCCTCGTATTGACGATCTTCTTGAGCGATTGGGCGGCGCAAAGTACTTTTCCAAGTTGGATTTGAAGTAGGGGTATCATCAGATTTTAATCCACCTGAACGATCGCTATAAATCCGCGTTCAAGACGCGATATGGACATTTTGAGTGGGTGGTCATGCCTCTTGGCCTCATCAATGCCCCGACGACCTTTAAAGCGGCAATGACCAACGAGTTTCATGTGATGTTGGACCGGTTCGTGCTGGTCTATAGCCGGGCATTGGAGGATCATCTTGAGCACCGTCGATGAATGTTGGATACGCTCCGCTGCGCCAAGTACAAAGCCAATCGTGATAAGTGCAAATTTGTTCGACAAAAGCTGGAATACTTGGTCATTTTGTCACACCGGAGGGCATCAGTCCATTGGCGGACAAGATTTAAGCCATCCAAGAGTGGCCGGAGCCGCAGAACGTTATGGATGCCCGTTCGTTCCTTGGCCTTGTTGGCTACTACCAATGTTTCATCAAGGGATACTCGAAGATTGCGACTCACTTAACCAAGCTTCACTGCGAGGATCGGCCGCTTGACTTCGGTGAGGATGCGCGAGAATCATTTTTGCCCCTCAAAGCTGCGTTATTATCCACGGAGGCCTTGTGCATATACGCCCCACTATTGCCAACGTGCGTTACTACGGATACGCCCGGCTATGGCATTGGTGCCGTCCTCGAACAACACGATGGCGTGGACTGGCACCCGGTCGAGTACTTCAGCAAGATAGTGCCCTTCGTGCACTCAATTAATGATGCACGCAAGAAGGAGCTCCTAACCTTTGTCCACGCACTCAAGCGGTGGCGGCACTTCCTCCTTGGTCGAAGTCAATTCCGATGGGTAACGGAAAACAATCCGTTGGTCTTCTACAAGACCCAAGACACCGTCAATAGCACCATCGCCCGTTGGATGGCTTTCATCGACCAATTTGACTTCTTTCCCAATCACATTCAGGGGAAGTCTAACCGTTTTGTGGATGCTCTTTCACGGCGTCCGGATCATTGTACCGTGGTCTATTTGACCTTCCAGATCGATGACGACCTGCGAAACAGCTTCATCCGCGGCTACCAAGCCGACCCCGAATTTCGCGACAAGTACGCGAATTGCTCCTCTCCTAATCCGGCGCCTTCTCACTACTGGATCCAAGAGGGGTACTTGCTTGTCCACACGCGGGAGAAGGACCTTCTTTGCGTGCCAAGTGATTCTCACTTGCGGACACGGCTTCTTTGCAAGTTCCACGATGCTCCCGCCACCGGACACTTTGGGGTCAATCGAACGATTGGCCGACTTCGCGAGCGCTTTTGGTGGCCCGGCCTTCTCGGCGACGTCACACGCTATTGCGAGTCATGCGAGGTTTGCCGACGCTGCAAATCCCGCAATCATCGTCCGTACGGCGAGGTGTGACCATTACCGGTCCCCTTACGCCGAAGGGAAGCGATTGCCATGGACATTACCGGGTCGTTCCCCAAGCACAAGACCGATGTGGATGGGATTCTCACGGTGGTTTCGATCTGGTTGATGATTCATTTTGTTGATCGATTGCCTGCGCGGTTGATCGCTTGCTCAAGTTGACAGAAATCCATGGACGACACACTCGCGCACTTGGAAATATGGTGGTTTGAACGAGATCGGATGAATGCTGGGCTAAATGGTTTGGGTTGAATGAAGGGAAGACGGAAACGAGTAAGGAGAACGGAGCGCTAACGTATTTGTTTTTCCGCACTCGAACGTTCAGACAATGAATGTCCACTTCGTCCCCAATCACTGTTCAAACAATCTCAGGCGGATCGTTCAATCAATCAATGTCCCATCCTATTGCTGTTAACTTCATCTCAGGCGACACATTCCCATCTCCCCAAGCGCGACAATGCAAGTCTTTGTTTGTGTGCAGGATGAGCGAAATCGGAACGAATCCGATCGACACGACGATCAAAATGTAATGAATCCACGCGTGGAACATGATTGGTTTGGTTTATTGAGAGATTCCCATCGACACGATGAGTGTAATCGAATGAACCTATGCCTGGATCATTCAATCCACGCGTGGAGCGTGATTGAGAGATTTCCATTGATTGAATGGATAACGAAAACGAAAACGGAACTGTAACTCATTTTTTCTTTTTCCACTCCAATCAGAGCCGTTCATCCAATCAATGAGTGTCCGATTCGATTGCTGGATCGTTCAATCAATCAATCGGTTGGCTGAGAACGCGCCTCGGTTTTGCTTATCCTGCCGTGGCCCATCAACATTTGCTGAAGTCCGCCGGAATCCGGACATCGCTCATGATACATATTCTCCGATGGTAGAGCGATCTTCTATAGTAACCACATGTCCGTTTATGAGAAACGTGGGCAATCTTCACCTCCGATGGACGAAGTTCGCCGGAATCCGAACTTCTAACATATGCTATAAAGAGTTCTAAAGCTGCCCATTTGCGCGCTAACTGTCTACAACCACCATTCCCCTCTACGCTGTTCGCTCGCCGCCAGCGCACCTGCTTTTCCCTTTGCGGTGTTCTGCTTTTCTATTTGCCTGGATTGTAGTCCGCCGGTATCCGAAGTTCCCCATTTGCTGATTGTTGGCGGTGTCGTTTGTTTTCGAATGCATCCTCCGCTACGTCTGGTGCAGACACAATGTCTACGTCAAGAGGCGAGGAGCAGCCTACGGGGACCTCGGGGAGAGAGTCGACGAACGCAAAATCGTGGTCGAATCATGCGCATACGAAGTGGTTCGTCGATTGGTGCTTCGCCGAAGATGACGAGCCCATGAAACCGCCTTGCGGTCTTGTCATCTTCGTGGAAGATAGAAAAGGACGAAGAGTGCTCGGCTCGGTCAAGGGATGGCAGCCATCGAAAAAACACGACAAGCAGTGCTACCTGATGCATGTCATTTACAATTCGAAGGGCGACGTTCTGGCAGGTGCGAAAGGGGCGATTCTCTCGTGGGATCTGTTCCAGGGGTTTGGTGGGGGGGCTTTGAGGACCCCTTTCTACACTGAAGTCGCGGAGGGAGGTCTTGTTTCGGCCAGGGAGTTTTTTTACGAGGTCGAGAGGAGCGACTTCAACCTCGACGATCCCTGCCAAATTTCGAGCGACCTGGAACTGTCGCTTCATGTGCAAATGTGGTCTGGGTTCATTTCCAGTGGTTCAGTACAGCCCCGACAGGGTGAGGAAATGGGTTCCGGTGGTTCAGTACAGCCCTGGCAGGGTGAGGAACGTGGTCGCTTCGATGACAACGAGGAGGAAGAAGAGGAGAACACGCGAGTTTCGCCGCATAGACTCGGAGATCGCGGGACGCTGAGAATTCCGGGGGCTGAGAGAGGGGCAACGGTCGTCAAGCAGCCGTCGACGTCGGGTGGCGGTCGTGCCTTGGGGTGGGAGGACAGGACAATTGGCGTCGTTTCCGGCGGGGAGGGAGGGGAACAGCAGTCTACACAAAAGAGAAGGGGAGGTTCTGAGGGGGAGGCGACGAGAGCTAAAAAGAAGCAGAAGACAAAGACCCCACAGCAGTCAGGGGGGAAAACGAAGGGAGTTGAGGGGCATGTCGGCGCGTCGAGTCAATAGCGCCTGGCCTCGGCTCAGAAGCCACCCCAGTCGGCCCCTGTCCAGCCCAGAGGTGTTATCGACATCGACGCGGCATACTTCCTGGAATGGGAAAACGGCGTGCAAACAAAGCGGGAGTTCGTCATTAACCTGTTGCAAGTCGTCGACATCGGCGAGTGGGAGGCGGCATACAACCAGCGTTCCTTGGATCCCGTGCAAATACAGGCCAGTATTGACGCAATGACGACGGCCTACTCTCAGACCGAGAAGACTTACGAGCTGCCGACACTAAAGCTCGCGCCTCTCGGGCTGGTTAAACCGACGCCCGGGGTGCGGGCGGATCGTCTGAAGCCGGAGGACTGGGAGGACGAGCTGGCAGGGCAATACTACTACTACGCCGTGGCGGGCCAGCATAACGCGGCTGCAGCCAGGGCACTGCTTGGCACCGATGTGGCAGTGAGGTACAACTTCGAGCGCTGGCCTGCACGAATGGTGTACTTCTCAGACGAGGACTTTGAGGGGTACTTTCTGGTCAGCGCCGAGGACAACAAGAAAGACCTGAAGGCCCCTCCGAGACAGCTGAAACTCTCCATGAGAGACATTCGNGACTTTGAGGGGTACTTTCTGGTCAGCGCCGAGGACAACAAGAAAGACCTGAAGGCCCCTCCGAGACAGCTGAAACTCTCCATGAGAGACATTCGGTGGTGTTGGAAGGAATTGGGTTACCCGAAAGCTGTTATGGGTAACCCCAGCGGGAAACAGGCGCAGGTGGAGGCATGGCGAAGATTTTGTGCGGAGGCGCTCCACAGGACGCCGTACAATCACTTGTGGACTCTCGCCGATGACAAGACCGAGCAAGGAATCAAGAAACAGAACGCTGCCCTTCAATCCTATTTCCCGCTCGCGATGGCAAGGAAAAGCGCATGGGAAACCGGGATGGAATTTTTTGAGAGATGGGAAACGGGCAGACTGCTGGCACCAGAAGGAGCGAAGTGGATCGCGAAGAAGAAGAAGGTGCAAGGCCTCAAGCCAGGTGTGAGCCACATCGAAAACGAGAAGGATGGGCGAAAGGTGGTCGTCTACAATGTCCCCGTCGAAGGGCCACAAAAGAAAGGCAAGAAGGAAAAAGAGCCAGGCGACTGGTTCGTCCAGGTCACCGAGCCGGATCCGCACTGTTGGAAGAGCATGGAGGCCCTTACTGACAATGAGAAATGCCGGTTGTTGAAGAAGGTTCTCAACTGCGAGGTGGTATGGGTGCAGACAGAGTCCTCCGAATTTGGCGAAGCAAGGGAAGCTGGGGATGCAAGAGGCAGTGCAACTGGTGAAATGCGATCGCATATTGGTGCGGTTGTGGAACTACAACCAGTTCAAGCATGAGAACCGGCCAGACAGTGACTGGACCACTAAGTACCCCTTCTTGAAAAAACGAGAGGCGATTTTGGCAAAGTTTGAAGGGCAGGGGATGGATGCAGCGTTGTGGGACGGGAGCAGGAAACTTGTCAGCGACTCCTCCTTGTTCAAGGACTGTCCGCCCTACATGGGTTGCGAGGACGACAAGTCGATCAAGGCGACAGAAAAGCTAGTCCAAAACAAGAAGTTGCCCATCGACTGGAAGAACAAGGTCCTCTCTGTGTTGACCGGCAGCAGGTCGAAAAGCATGCAAGTCGCGCTGGCCGAAGGTATGGTGCACATTCTGTGGAACGACTCGAAGGATGTCACAACTATTGCCCCGTTCGGTGTCGACCCTCTGGATGCGCAGATGAAGGTCGTGGAGTTGGAGAGGGCGGTCGGAATCATGAAATGCCACACGTGCGTTCTCGACTTGTGCGAACAGGTGGACATCAAACAGTGGACAGCTAAAGTCTTCGAGAGTTTGAATGCCCTCCTGGAGCACTTGTTCCCCTCGCACTGGACAGTAGTTGCGTTCGTCCCTCGTGAGCACGACTACTACTTCATGACCAGCCTGCGCCATTTGTCCGTCGTGAAGGCAATGGCCGGGAAGTGGGTGAGGAGGACGCAGCAGAAGAAAAGTTTCGGTGTCGGCCACAACTTGTACTCCTTGGACGACCGCATGTACATCCTTTTCAAAGGCGACGACTTGMGGGAGAACACATCTGTTGTCWACGACGMGAGSTTGGCGGCGGGTGATGCTGCCGCGGTGGGGGCACTTYAGAAAGTGACTCCCACYGAGATATYYGAYATGYCGTTCRACGCTTGTGAATGGYCCKTCGTGATACATGGGCRTGATCCCGTGGTGTACAAGGGCATRGAGCGGAACCCCACACAATTCGCCCRTCTGCTGGAATTCCTTTGCAAAAAGGGGGACGGCATCAWGTTCCTYGGGAAAGCGCACGCACAAGTCGTGTGGGAGGTTTTGAAGGGTGGTCGCAAYGTCATCGCGTTSGAGGGGAATTCGGAGTGGTTGCAATTCACGTTRGATTTCCTGAAAACCGCGGTCAACTMGGGAGCATACCGCTGCGAGTTCATTACGAAGAGTGAGAAGCCGAGATGCGTTTGGGATCCTTCGACGGACATGTGGTTCAAGCTAAGCGCCCGGAAAAGGAGCAGGAWCTACGAGTTCYYYTYYTKGRRRA